CTGCATGTCGTTCTCAACCGAAGAAACGTGTCACACACACAACTCGGGTTCGGAGCCGAGTGCTGATTGCAGCAGCGGTGCCCTGTTCAAAGGCTGAACCATTGAAACAGGAAACGGATTATGTCAATGTTTATTACGCAAGCATAGGCGTAGGAACAGGGGGGGCCAGGTGGGCAAGTGCCCACCCACTTTTCGAGGTGGGGGGGCCAACCATGTGTTTTGGCCCACCCACTTTTTACTCGAGGCCCCTTGTCTCGATTTGATAGGACGTCGTCACCTTCCAGAATAAACAAACTCGGTAAAAATAAGTTCCACGAATCCCCACGCACGGACTCTCAAGGGGCAGTGATGGATCCAAGGAGGCCCTCTGTACATACTTGTCAGTCGAAGCCCCTGAGACTGATGGCCTGAGAGACCCTAGTGGATCTGAGGAGGCCCCAATATCCACACTGGTCTGGGGAGGCCCCTGACACTGGCGGTCTGGGAGGCCCCTCTATCCATACTAGTCAGAGGTCTGAGACTGGTGGTCTGGGAGGCCCCTCCATCCACACTAGTCAGAATAGGCCCCTGACACTGGCGGTCTATCCGAGGCCCCCTACCCTCACTAGTCAGAGGAGGCCCCTCTATCCTCAAAAGTCAGAAGAGGCCCCTGAGACTGCTGGTCTGGGAGGCCTATCCATCTACACTGTAGTCAGAGGAGGCCCCTGAGACTGATGACCTGATAGGCCCTTATAATCACACCAGGCAGAAGAGGCCCATGAGACTGATTGACTGAGAGGCCCTTCTATTCATACTGGCCACAGGAGACCCCCAAAACTTTCGGTCTGGGAGGTCCCTCAATCCGGCACCAGTCAGAAGAGTCCCCTGAAACTGATGGCCTGGGAAGCCCTTATATTCACACTAGGCAGAAGAGGCCCCTGAGACTGATGGTATGAGATGCCCTCATATTCACACCAGTCAGAAGAGGCCCCCGAAGCTGATGGTTGTGAGGCCCCTCTGTTCATATAACTGGCCACTGGAGGCCCCTGAAACCGATGGTCTGGGAGGGCCCTCTATCCACACTAGTCAGAAGAGGCCCCTGAGACCGATGGTCTGAGAGGCTCTTATATTCATACTGGCCACGAGAGGCCCCTGAGATTGGTAGTCAGAGAGGTCCACTCCTAATGAATCTAAGGGGGCCCTCTATCCACATTTACACTTTTCTAGGGAGGCCCCCGAGACTGATGGTCTGAGAGGCCCTTTTATTTATACTGTCCACAGGAGCCCCCAGAGATTAATGGTCTGATAGGCTCTTCCATTTATGCTAACCAGAGGAGGCCCCTAGGATTGATGGTCTAACAGGTCCTTCTATTTATACTAGCCAGAGGAGGCCCATGAGACTGATGGTCTGAGAGGCCCTTCTATTCAAACTACATAGACAGATGAGGCCCCTGAGAATGATAGTCCGAAGAGCCATGCGGCGGCAACTGACCGTGGCCATATTTCGGCTCGGTAAGGCCCCACAGAGCTCATGAGAGCACCTCAAGGGCTCCTAAGTAGATACGCTTATCCCCATAAGGGTGGCATAAGGGCTTCTGAAGGCTCCTTGTAGGCATCTAAGGGCCCTTTCCGGCCTCTAACGGCTCCACCCGCCTGTGATGGCTCCCCACCAGACACCAGTGTTTATGAGCGCCACACAGCGGCGCCTTTGAGGGTCATACTATGTAGTGTCTCCTAGGGCCCTACATCGGTGGCTCTCGGGGCCCCACACCGGCGCCTCTGTGGGCCACCACACCTGTGCATCTCAAGGCTCTACAGGTACAGGTCTCGCGGGTTTTAGCGGTAGGTTTTGCACCTAGAAAATTTAGTGTACTTCAGGCTATATCTTCGTCGTCTTAAGTTTTTAAGTGTTGAAGATGCGATCGACTTGTTGGGTAACAAGCCGGCCATGACCGTGTAAAATGGCTTCATCGTAGATCGATTAGTTTCTGAGATATAACCGGAAATGTAAAAGTTCAAAACCTACCGCTTAATCTCGCGAGACCTGTACATCTGAAGGACCCACACCGACACCTCTGAGGGCCCCACACCAGTGTCTCGGAGCTCTGAAGGCCCCACACCGGTGACTCTGAGGACTCACCGGCTCCTGAGAGCACCATGTTGATGTCTAACGGCTCCACAAGGCCACTGAAGGCACCACACAAGCTCTCACTGAGCCCTAATGTCCATGTACCTACCGGCCTCTGAGGGATTTAAGCAAGCGCATTCATAACTCCACACCAGCAGTTGTAAGGGCTTCACACTGAAGTATCTGAGGGTTCCACACCGGTGTCTCTAAGGGCCACATACCGGCATCTCTGAGGGCCCCATACCGGCGTCTCCGAGGGTCCACATCTGGCGGGCACCCATCAGCGACTGAAGGTCCCACACTGTCGACTCCGACAGCCCCATCTGCGTCTGGGAGCACCATGCCGTCTCTAATAAGAACCACAGCGGCTCCTCCGTACGAAAGATGGGCGTCTGCATGCCAAAGGGGAGCGGTTCGGAGACAGAAGGGCACCTACGTGCAATAGAGGTCTGCAAGACTGCAACTGATCAATGCCATGGGGGTGCATTCATAAGAAACAGGGGCGCCGGCATGGCAAAGAGAGGCGCCTTCAAGTGTCCATAAAAGAGAGACGCCTATGATAAGCACACATTGTATGCGACAACGGGGACAACGACAACGGACTGTGGGACATATAGGGATGTCTCTGATGACTATACATAGGGCGCTTATATGCCAAAGAGGGCGCCTATGAAGCTAATGGGGGCACCTGGGAAACGAGGAAGACATTTGTGTAAGGGTTTTCAGGGGTCATGCGCCGTTTGCGGCAAATAGATTCTAAAAAAAAAAATCGGAGGGGGAATAAGTTTTAAAAATGGTGCGGACTTTCCGCACTGTTCGCTTAAGCGGTTACGCCCCTGGGTACATCTGCCCGATCTCAGAAGCTAGATTTGGAGGTCATACTTGAAAGCAGCCAGCAGGACGAGGCAAAAGTTGGAGGCCCCTGAAAATAGGAGGCCCCCTGGAAAAGGAGGCCCCTTGACAGGGTGGCCCGCCCACTTTTCATGACGTTCCTACGCCCGTGTACGCAAGTGACACTTGTATGGCTCTGGAAAACCACGTTAGATTTCTTGACGTTTCCCGTGTTCCTGCTAACATTATCCAGCTGCATACGTTGGTACATTTTCGCTAAACATACGAGTGTAGGTATAATTAGCCCCATACTACCATCACTTTTGCGTTGCAATGCGTCATAATTATACATAAACCATCAGCTTGAAGCGTCTAAAATATCCCCACTGTCAGAATCTGCGACACTGCCGGGACCAAACTTCACTCGCGCTATCATTGCAAGCGTATCGTAACAGGACATCCCGCGGCGGCCCTCACTTAGCCGTACCGTGATTGTTTATACTGGCAGCCAGAGGACCGCGGCCCACTGTGACGTCACACCAGTCCAGGAGTGACGTCATACGCTGTGTGACGTCAGTGGCACGCAGGACTCCCCGGCAGACCGGTTCCAAGACCGGTGGCGTAACTTCTGGCGGGCATATTGATATGGTAGTGCCATGCTCGATGATCTTGTCATGTTAAGAGCGGTTTTATCCAATGTGAAATCGGATGATCCCATGAGTGTGCTGTGTGTTTGAAGTTTGAACTCGGAATGCAGCGTCGTTTCCTAGCAGTAGTATACACAGCACTTCAGTAGCACCGGGCTAATGTAGGTATGTGAGGCTCATTGCGATTTCTCAGTAGGATGAGTACCTACTGTCGCACTGATAAATGATAATGTTCAAGCGAATCGTCAACAAACCAGGTGTTTGCACCCAGAACGAACCAAAGCCGGAACCGGAAGACATGTTTTCTTCGTCGCCCCTCCCCTACCACTCCAAATAGGCAAGTGGAGCCAAGAGTGGAGCATCGGCGGCCAACTGCCAAGACCACATACACAAATGCAAACTCACGTGCACCAAGTTACAGCGAAGCGACCCAAGGTCCTACAAAATAATCAGAAGTGTACCTCTCATATCCATCCCAGCTGACGTGTCATGCCATCTGTAATGATGACAGTCACTGGAGTGTCTTGGTGGGAGGGCAGCCGTTCTGACTTCTGTAGCTCGAGCTCCTTTTCAAAACTTAACGAGTGTATCGTTTTAGCAGCCAAGCAAAAGCGGTATATGCCATCGTAAATTGGCAGCACACTTCAATGCCGAAGGCATGGGATGGGCAACGGGTACGGAAATTCGTTACCTCTGGAGCTATTGGTGGCGGACAACTCTTCCCGTTTGAAGTTAGCCCCCTTTTCAGTTGAAATTCCCGTCTGATACCCAGGCGAGGCCTAACAACGTGTGAATTAGGTTATGTTGGGCTAGCTAAAAAAAAAACATGTTTTTGCCTACCGTCTCCGACAGGAGCTATTGTAGTTCATTTTCGAGGTGCCGCACCCCTCCTTGGTCGCTGAAGCGAAACATTCCAGTAGCCCGGTCAGGTCAGCCATCATGGAGGCCGCAGAGAGGGGTGGCGTCTCCCGTCTGGCACTGGATAACGAGCCCAGTAGTCCAGAACGAGCCTAGTCGTGACACCGTCGGCCCAGATCGTGATCGAGCCGAGGCCGGTCGGCGGGGGTGGCCGGCACAGAGACGCCCCAGTCCCTCGCATCCCTCCCAGAGACGTGGACACGCCCATTGGGCAGCAGGCGGGAGAGTTCTGAGCTCGGGTCTGAGGTAACTGTGTACGCGCTGTGTTAGTCACTGTGTACGCAGCAACTGGAGTCCCCGACAGGAGAGGCAGCGCGGTCATGAAGCGAACGACAGGTACGCCCGTGTTAGTTCGGAGTACCACAGTAATTCCCTAGTGGATACCGTACACACCTACACAACTACGTCAGCCAGCCGGCCGTAACGACCAGGAAAACTGGCCGCTCCAGTCGACAGAACAATACCCGGTCGCGCCCACCCACCACACAAACGCGACAGGCGATATTCTGCAAATATGTATTTCACATTCGGCAGTCGGGTGCACGAGCCCACCCAACACAGTACACAAATGAACGCACCAAGATGTCGGCCGACGCAGCTCGCCGTCCATATACCAGCCTGGCGCACTTACAAAAGCATAAATGTATCAAAGACTATACAACCAACCAGTTAAAGACGGGCGACGGAGGCGACGCCGGCAGAAGCTAACTGTAGCGGGACGTCGTGCTGCGGACAGAAGCGCCGACGACGGGAGCACTACATAACAGAGACGGGGTAGCGCCGCGCCGCGCGCCGTCCCCAGCGGCAGGGGCGGCGCCGGCGGCGGCCGAGAGGCGCAGACGACGGGGCGACGGCCGCCCGCCCGCGCTGGCGTGGACGACACGGAGGGCAGACTAGAACACACTCGTGGCGACCTGGCGGAGGGCAGTGGCTGTCAGTGGCGAGATAAGACAAATCGTGGTGAAATATAACCGTCGGTGGTGGTATGTGACAGCTGAGACAGCAGAATGGCAATCGGCAGTCTGGGAGGATGACAGTCGATAACACATAAGTGACCAGGTGGGACTTTGGGCGTCCTAGCCCCAGGTGGACAAAGGTGATTACAGACGTAAATGAGCGCAAACTTTTGAGTCAGAACAACAGTAGCGAGCTATAAGGGTAAAGTACAGGGTGTCCCATAAGTTCGTTCTCACATTATGTTTGCATGTGAAACAGAGTACATTGCGTTTTGATATATTTACGACCCCTCAACGTGCTCCCCATTTAATAGGCAAACACATGAATACATGCTGCGGCATGCCAACCGGCATGTTTGGCTGCATAGCAGGCTTAAAGTTAACCCAGACTGACTTGACATGCGCCGTGAGCTCCTCGAGGCTGGAACAGCGCTACGCTTCGACGAGCCTCAATTTCAGCATAAACAACAAATTTTTATGAAATTTTGATCCAATGAGGTGCCTGGCATGTGATCTTGCCAAAAACGCCTGTCACAGTCTCCTTGCACCGCTTTTAAGCTTTGCTTGACCTGTGCACTGATGCACTGTCTTGCCTGAAGATGGGTCTACGACCTCCCGGATGCCATTCTCTCCTCTATAAATATGTTCATACTCGCGGTTCGAGTTCAGCTTGAGGGCTGAAACTCCTCCTAGATGTTCTTGGAAAAGCATTCTGCTTCCCAAAACTGTTTCTGGGTTGCCACTTGCAACTTGGTCAACTCCAGAACGCCTATAACCCCACAACACAGTGACCCTGTCCTTTTGCATAGAAACATAACGAGACGAAACGGAGGCCTCCTCCTTCGCCCTTATGGGGTTGTTTTCGGGTTTGGACGGGTGTTTCATCTCGAACGTGGACTAGTTAGTCCTGATGACCTGGTTGATGTCATCAGCCCTCTGTTTTGTTTAGCCTCAGGCATTACGAAACTCATGTTTGGCCATTTTTAGACGTTTTTGACTGTTTTGTGCCCTCCGGTAAGCAAAGCTTAAGTCACCTTGAGTTATGTACCCCGAAAGGACACTCTTAGACAGCTGGTAATCCATCCTGAAAAGTCTGCTTGCCAACTTTGTAACCCTTTGACCTTTTTGATGGCCACTTTGGCGCGACACAGTTTTGGCCACTTGGCTCACTCCTGAGGCCTGACTGGAAAAAGGATAAACTTGCAATAACTGACTCCCGACAAATCATCGGCGTCACTTGCTGACTGTGCGTTTAGTTAGCGATGGACATTGGCTACAGACTGGTAGGCCTCAATCACCCTCAATCGTCGCGAATGGTCACGTGCTGACTAAATACTGAGACGTACCCGTATCGGAGACCTCTATGTTGCTGCGTTAGCCGTCTCTGTAGGAAGCGGGCTCTATAGCAAACACTATTTTGTCTACAGAAATTAGCTACTGTGGAGCATATTTCTACCAGCCATGGCAACCACGTAAGCTCAGTTACGAACCAATTTCAGCGTGCCTTTAAGCAAGAGAGCCTAAAAATGTAAAATTTAGGTGAGAACGAACTTATGGGACACCCTGTACAATTACCCTGTCACGACGTGTAGTCCGAGATATCAGTAACGCTGGGCCGGTAAAGTGCCGGTAAATTTCAACGCCATCAAAACATCACGAGTGAAAAACATGCTGGGATACTATCTGGAGGATAAACCCGTCTGGCTTATAATTAACCCGCGCCGTGCTGGGGGGGCGTTTTTACGCCCCCCCCTCAGGTTTTTCGCAAATATCTCAAAAACGGCGGCGCGCAGCGCCGCCGTTTTTGGTACACGTGTTCCTACATCATTTCCGCACATGTTGTGAAAATTTCAGACCTAGGCCGTTCAAGGTCAGGTCACCAGGTCACGTCAAGTGACCTTACCTCAGAAAAAGTTCAAAGGCTCGCTATAGCTACACCGACTGAACGATCACTTTGAAACTTTCAGCGATTGATATGAGTAACAGTATGTATAAAATGTATATCTCGGATTTTTGATATCTGTGACCTAAGGTCAGGTCAATTTTGCGACCTCTCCATTATAAGTCAATGGGAGAAAATTGAAATGCGCCTCTTTTGGACGAATATCGTTCAAAACGCTCTCAAACATCGGTTCATAGGTAAACATGACACACTGAATAGGAAAAATGCACCTGTGACCCCTCTGTGTGCCCCTGAGGTCATCTCAGGTCATGAACGGTCGCCAGCAGTTTTTTGGCTATAACTTTTGATAGAGACGTGCTAGAGCGGTGAAAACACGTCAGATGTGTTCAGCTCGACGATACGGATCGACTGATATGCAACATGACCCTTTTCGGTCAGGTCATGACCTTGACCTGAGGTCAAATTTTCAAAATGACCTTTCAAGGTCAACGAATAGTTCATTCGACGCGTCTCGACGAGAGAAACACGATGCTGGCAAAAGTAATGTCATGGCGCTTATGAGTCAAAAGTTATTGACGAAAAAACGTTTTTCGTAAAAACGGCTATTTTTGGAGTTTTTGCCCTCTGGAGGCTAAACCGTTGACCTGAGGTCAAATCTGAGGACATTACTCAGAAAGGTCTGTAAAAGGGCTATCGAATGCGCTTTTCCGCGGCGCTGTAGCTCTATCGGTTCCCGAGATAGCCGTTGGCAGTTTCCAAAATGTTGAAATAGTCAACATTTTACCTTTGGTGACCTCTGGTGACCTGACCTTTGACCTGACCCAAAAAATGACCGAAGTGTTTTCGTCCTTATTTTTGACGCTCTTTCGATTGCCGCTTACCGCGTGTCGCTACGTGGCCCAGGAGCCGAGTTAGACGGGGGGGCGTGAAAACGCCCCCCCCAGCACTCGGCGGAAAGTTCAGGCCACCAGCACGGCGCGGGTTAAGACATCAACAGGAATGATTTAATCTCACATAGGTACAGGAGGACTTTAAACACAAAAAGCAAGAGTACCGCACCATTACAGGAAATGGCCTTGTCTAAGACTCCTTGACAGATCAGACTGCGGTATAGAACTGGGACATTGACATTTCTTCAAAACATCCGTATGCACTCCTGTGAAAAACCGAAACCAATATCGATGACACCATCGACAAACTATCGCTTGATAGTAACCTTCATAGCCGATAAGCGCACCATCAAAATCCCACATTAGCTCCACATCCTGCAACATTAACGCATTTAGATCCAATAACCTCTGACCCAATCTAGCACGTAATCCACGTCAATATCTATTTCTGCGAGTCTGCGACCCGTCCCCTATCTCGGATTTCCTGTCCCGTGGCAAATCCCAGATATGTGCGTGAAGTAGTGGCGTTTTAGCCAGTGTCCGGCGTAGTGCGTTTCGATACAACATAAACAGTTCCCGGAAAGCGGTCAGCCCACGGCCGGCAAGTGACGTATGGGAATTGAGGCGGGACTTGCCCTGGTACTCAGGGGCCGGGTCCCGGTGGACGCACACAGGAATGTGCGGAGTTAATGATGAATGGACGATCAATGCAGATGCACACACGGACCCAATGGTATGTCCCATGGGACAAGGTGATGAACATTGGTAGACGTACATAATACACCACTAAATCATAAACTGAGAGAATAGTTAACACTTATAATTTCACCAGGGACAAAACTTGTGCACTTTTTCCCCAGCATCTCCAAAAGTTCATGAGTTGCTTGCGTGAAAAATGATTTCCCCTGAGAGCAGACATTGTTTACGCGATTTGGGAACGTCTTACAACATTGTGTCTGTTTGCATCTAAACATCACTCGCGTCTCGCGACTCGTCGTCACACCGGACACCCCCCCCCCCCTCCCGCGGCACGGACATCCTCCCACCCCACCCCCAGCCGGACACTGCCCTCCCCTCTCGGTGAGCGCGTGCTACCGGCGTCACCACCCCGGACATGTGACGGGCCCCGGCGGGCCGCCCCCGGGCACGGACAATGGCTCTCCGGCCGCGGTTGGTCGCGCTCCGCGTCCGTGTGACCGCCACTTCCTGCCCTGTGCGAACAACACGTGGCGACGCGTCCCGGCGAACGTGCCAATGTGGGCCTCGCTCTCCGCGCGTGCCTCTCAGGGAATATGGAACAGTGAACTCGTGGGTGCGTTTGGAACGAGTGTGCTCTATTGTCCATCGATAAAAGCGGTCCAACAGTCGCGTGCTGGGCCTGCTGTGCTTTTTTCGCTTTCGCAACTGTGCGTCACATAGCGTTTCTCCGTGGGTTATTGTTGTGGTACATTTATGGGCTGCCAGCCGTGACTGTATTATCTACCCTCCGATCTTTCCGGCCATAACATACAGTCGCGATGCCATCATTCCGCCCCTCCTCACCCTTTCACCTTCTGGTGCCTGTCCCCGCCGCTTCCCTTCTATTGCCATTTCCTCTCTGCGCCGCTTGTCATGCTGGCCTTCAGGAGCAAGAAAAAATGAGATGACACATACAAGCTAGCCATCGTCGCATGGGCTATCACAGTAAGATTAAACCTAGCTGCCTGCCTATCTACGCCTTTGCAAAGACACCCACCCAGCGTCATCTGATCCTTCACTACAGCGCCCCTCCCACCCGTCGTGACGCCCTGCTCGTCACGGCGCCCCGCTCCGCGTCCCGTCACGTTACTCACCGCGTCCGCCCGTCACATCACGTCCACAAAGTAGTCGGGCTGTCTGCCGTCGGGCGCGGCGGCGGCGGCGGCGGCGGCGCCGGGCGGCACGGCCGCCGACCTCTGGCTGGTCACCGTCGTCGCTACTGACTCTGTGCCGTCGCTGCTGGAGCCGCCGCCTCCGCCCGGTCCGCCGCCGGCCGCTGCCGACTCGAGTCTCCGACGCTGGGAGCCGGCAGAGGAGCCGCCGCTGCCGCTGCCTGTGACCGCAGAGCAGCACGGGAGGAGGGTCAGACACTGCTTCAAAGGGAAACGGGAGCATAACAGTAGTAACATTGAGCCAAGAGGGAGGGAACAAGTCATGATGGGTTAAGGCTGGAACACAGCTTTCAAGCGTGTAAAACGCGGCTCCGCACCTCTTATTAGAATACATGTCATATTTTCTGTTTTCAACACGTAGCTCGAAAGCTGTGTTCCATGCTCTAGACGGTGACTAAAAGCTAGACGATGAACTAAAATTCGACAGAAGAACAAACAGTACCAACAGCACGGGTTAAGCCCCGTGAACGGAAATAGTGCGTTTATGGAAATGACGTTATTTGAATCACACTGGATAAGCTATTTTCCTATACCGTTACTGCGCAGTTTATGTTATTTCCTCAGTTCAACAACTTGCGCTAATCCATAGACTAAATGCTCGCACGACAATCTAGCAAGGTATTTAGCAGCATAATCGTCTTATCCAACAGCAAAATATTCCAAACACTCTCAGAGGTAAACATACAAACAACAAACAAATCAGCACCAACAGCACGAAAAGTTCGTTTGGGAAACGGGACCATTCATTCACTCAGCGCTGTATATCTTTAGACACGACGCTATCCTGGTAAAAACCCCGGCGCTGTCCCATGATTCATCACCGCAGACGGCTCCGTTTCTGGAGACACCAGCTTCCAGTGTTCACTAGCGCCAGTCTGAGGTCAGGGGGTCACCCTCTCATTCCCTAACCACGGAGTCCCTCCTCTTTCCCCTTCCCCGGTCATATGATTAGGGGGGTCACCTCTCTCTAACCACAGAGCCCCTCTTCCCGGCGGCGGTCAGCTGACCCGCGCTCACCCCTCTCCCAAACCACATCCATCCGTCCGGGCCGCGCGGGGGCACGGCAGGACGGGACGGGGCTGCGGCGGGAAGCCCGGGCGGTTCCTCGCACAATTACGTCACCCGGTACACGGTACTGGAGACGGGCGCGGACTATGTAAACAGATATTCGGCTCGGAGCTGCGCGCCCGGCAGATATCGTCACTGAGGACTGTCAAAGTGCATTGGGATCGGACGGGATCAGCTGAACGACAAACAATGCCGCTGTACTTCCCACTGTTATCGTTTTCCGTGCAGAATCAGAATGGTTTACGCAATAATTTATCGATATCTGAGCCAACAATGTAACCATATTAAGACCAGTGGACGCAACGTTTATTGTTACGCCGGCAGCACTATGATTTACATAACAAACCTTAATCGTTTTGCACATAATTGCACGTCCGGAAAATGTGCAGTGAGTGTGTTTTCTCTCAATGCCGATCAGATGCCGCACTAGAGTTCTGCGAGGCCCGCGCCTTACTGTAGCCATTTCACTATCAGCTGGAAGTTCTCCATGGCCGCCAAATCTCATAAATTTCCCTTTATCATATTCACACCTCAGACACATTTCTGCTTTTACCTCACGTCAAAATCGTGCATGTTTGCTACGTTGTTAGCCAACTCCCTCACTCCCCATTCCTCGATCAGCAAATAAAAGTTTGCAGCTCCGTTTCTTCAGGCCATTCCACTAAATACTAGTATTGCCGCTGGGTATGCAAGTTACACCCGTACCATCCCCAGACGGTTCGTTCAGTCGCGCTGTCAGCCTGGGTCTAAGGGATCAAAGACTGGATAGACTGACAGACTACTGTGACTACTGACTATCCATTTCTCTCCGTGCACCCACCTCCTTCCCGCTGACTGAAGCTGCCGGCCTCGTTCGTATAGCTGAACGGCATCGGCGCGTAGCCCTGCGCCGGCGGTACGTATGTACCGCTGTAGGGTACGTGGGGGACGGCCCACTGCGTGCCTGACGAGGGCGGCGGCAGCGGGCCCAGGGTGTCCCGGTCCACCTCCGATAGACCGTCCTCGTCGCCTAGCTTCATACCGGAGAAACCTGACCGTGGGGAAAATATACGGTTAAAACTAATGGTAAACGTTGACGGCAAGACGATACGTGGGAGTGCACAGTGGGAGCTGACCTTCAAACACGTCATGACATTGTTTGTTTGTTGGGGGTTAGGACACGTCATGACATTACTGGCTTTTTCGTATAGTCGGCTGTCATACTTCGCCTTGGGTCAATTGCAGCTAAACTGAAGCTGGTTGCACTGTCGACATTATACAACCATTCAGTATTCACATACGACGGTGGCTCCACCACAGTAAGCAATGAGCGACAGGGTCGATATACAGATACAGAAACGTGGCGACATCTATGATCGGTTCCAGTGAGCCGGTGTAACGACAACGATGAACGAGCACAACGGATTCAACCCACCGCTACAGAGATCTCCGAACACGTAGTAGCACTGCTCGGAGAAGGTGTTCTTGTTGACCGTGTGTCGGATGAAGCCGGCCCGCAGCATGTGAGCGGCGTACTTGCGCGCCTCGCGCCGGTCAGCGAACCCGGTTACGTAGCTGTGTAGCCAGTCGACCACGTCCGAGCCTGGAATACAGACAGACAGAGGATACGTTAGAGGTTAGTTAGATAGAGGTATATTTAGTCCGGAGTCGGAGGGACGGCGAGTGGACACAGTGGCACATCGGGGGTCTGCTTAGAGAGCGTGGGTTGCAGGCCATTTCATAAACCAAACACCAACATATGTTAGGCGCCAACAGCCCATGAAGGAAGTTAAAACTGTAGGCACAAAATCGCATATGTATACGTCCTAACGAAACGTTTGTTTGAAAAACGTCAAATGTCGCATGATCCCTCATAACTTCGTTTGTAGATGGCAGAAATCGAAAAAACATCTTACCTTCTTGGCTAATTTCCCATTCAAGATGAGTTCAGCTGGCATCCTCTCTCGCCCTTACAGGCCATATAGCCTCGTTGCTGGTACGCCCTAACACCACCCAATCGCCCTTACAGCATCGCTTATCCCATTCAAACATTAACCCTTTATTTTGGTTCTAAACTAGCGGATTGTTCGGCTTCCAGGTACGTCCTCCCCTGACAAACAACCCTCCCTCTCGTGCCCCCACTCACCAATGAACGCGTTCGGTATGGTAATCTTCAGCCACATCCTATCCCGCACCTCCAGTCCGCTGTCAGGCGCAGCCATGGCGCGGGCAACGGCCAGCATTCCCGAGTCCACAGTTAGCGGCTCGGCCGGCGGTCCTGCAGACAGGAGGGGCACTGCGACACCGGAGCGCACGCAGGGCGGCAGCGGCGGCGGCGGCGGCGGGGGAGGCGGACGGTGCGCAAGCGTCAGACCAAGGCGGAAGCGGTGCCGGCGGCCAACACAACCAGGCGGTAAGCGTGAGTGGCAGGGTGCGAGCGGGGGAGGGTCGGTGGCAGAGACAGGCGGTGCCGTAGTAGTGACGGGTGAATCGTTGGGACGGACAGACTATGGTAGAGGGCGGTGCGTCAGCTAGCGGCGCCACAACACCCAGTCAGCAAATGAACAATAAAAGCGGAGCAACGTGAATAAGACACATTGGGCAGCAGCTGCAGTTCAGAGGCGGACACAAACCAACACAGAGCAGAACACGACCAGACGGGGTGCGGATAATTAGGGTCTGCTAAGAGGGTGGGACAGACAGGAGTAGCTGAATGGGGTGGGAGGTGGGCTTGGACCAGCACTGAGCACGAGCAGGGCACGCCAGAGCGCTGAATAGCTAACTAGCGAGGCGAACACGGCAGGATAGCGACCACACACACAGCAAAAGCGACGGACAGACAGCCGGGCCGCGTGCTACTCCAGCGGTGTACGAATATGACAATCTAAAATTGTGGCTTAGGGCATCTTCACGCTTACGTAATACAATCTATGAGTGTAAAAAAGATGAGCCAAGAGATTGAGAAGATTAATATGAAAATGAAAGCAACTAGAGTAAGCCCGAACATAAAATTGGAGGCCATTCAATCGCAACTATTTCATCAGACAGTAGCGACAACCCAGACCACCCGCTCTCAAGACCACCCGCTAAGAAAAGTCCTATCCTCTCCCTGTCGTTCGCTCCCCTCCCAACCAAGCTCAATAACAGTCTCCCATATGACAGCGCCTGGTGTCTGCACTCACTCTCTGACTCGGGCATACTGCTGGCCAGTGACGAGCTGGTCGACGTCAGGGTTGAGAGGGACGGCTGACGAGCGCCGGTGAACTGGCCTGGGGACAACACGGGAAGGTTAATGGTCAGATGGTCAGATAAAATAGCCTGGGAATAGTTACCACGCGGGAGGATAACAAGGGCGGTTTACCAGATCAAGTTACAGTGGTGATAAGGTTATATTGGCAAACAAGTGAGAATGCACTCATGCAAGAGGGAGACCCAAGGCATACACACTAAAAGGACCAAGAAATCAGCTGAATACTAAACAGCAGCACTGAAAGTCAACGCCATAACGGGAATATTATTTCAGTGGTTACCACTAGCTAGATTTATGCTCTATATCCTGTTCAATATGAGGACGAACATTTGACTCAATGGCCACAGCGAACTTCACAATTAGAACACTCATCACCAAGTTTCTCCGTGCACATGCACCGTTAGCAATAATCAGCACACGTCACCACCTCTGCCGTAACACATGATGACACGTGCTGACACTACGTCCTTTCACTATCGGCGCGTCCTTTCACTGCTGACGTCGTGCGTACAAGATACATCAGGTCCACAGGGAATGAGACTGCAGGGGTGGGATAAAAGGGGCGGGGCCCGTAGACAGCCGAGTAAACACAACTCGGCTGGCCGCCGGCAAAAAGCAGCACCTGTATACCCCACAGCGCCGGCTTGTGGCAACAGAGCCGTTTTTGCGTGGGATGAGCTTCGAGAGACTACACAAGAGGAGCTGATGGCGAGCGCGTTAAAGACGGCTTAGAGCCCGAGATTAACGCACACTGCACAGACCGGTCGAGCATACGAGACCAATCCAACGGCTAGACAGGTTGCTGGTATCAACTCCAGCACCTATGGACTAGGGCACTAACAGTCTACACACGTCCCAAACTGGGACCGTGGGGCCCATGATACGAGGACAGTGGGCGGCGGGACCATTTGTCTCAGGAGCTGCTTAGTCGCTTACCCTTGCCTCCGTGGTGACTGGGTGTGAAGGAGGATGGCGCTCCGATCGAGTATTCACCTGGAAATAGCGAGAACAAAACGGCGTCAGGGTAGATGCACAGGTTCACATACTGTTCAACGCCAACCAGAGATGGGATGAAAACGAGATCCCTGTGAGTCATGGAATGTAATTGTAATGAGATATTCTTTTAGTGCACCCAGATCATGTCGGTCATAAAGGCCAAGCCCATGGCAGGCGATTCATATCTGAGCGGGACAGCAAACCCAGCAGATGCTTATTCCTTCGATGCTCCCCAATCCAAATTAAATCTAAAGCGTCAAATACAACACCACCACCCAACCCACCACCCAAACACCCCTCCCTTCCTTCAAGCTCATCCCTTCCCTCCCCCTCACCCCTCTCTCCCCCTTGTTCTCACCTGTCTGGGCCTCACCTCGGCAGGCGGCCGTGTGCGCCACCCAGGCGCCCGGGTCGATCGGACGCACCGGCTCCGTGCGAGGGATCGTGAAGTAGCCCTTCGGGTTCGGGTCCCAGCACTTGGCCACCACCAGCTTCACCGGCCCCGGCTTCTGAACCACGTCTCGCAGGACCCGCACGGCGTCGTCGTTGGACATGTTCTCAAAGTTGATGTCGTTGACTTGGAGGATCATGTCTCCCGGCTCTATCCGGCCGTCCAGGTTCACGGCGCCGCTGTGGAGAGGAGGGAGGGGCACGGGTTAAAGACGGATTCGCGGTGATTAACATACAGGCATATTCACGACAAGTTGTTCATACACATGCTTCGCTCCTGAAATGTCCCCGAAAGTGATGCAACAGGCGTTGCTACAAACCAATGTAGCACCAATAAGTGCCAGGAGAACGATCGATACAATTATTGGCATGCCTGAATGGTCATTCAATGAATGAATGGATGGATGGATGGATTGGATAGATAGATGGATGAATGAATGGATGAATGAATGAATGAATGAATGAATGAATGAATGAATGAATGAATGAATGAATGAATTTTTACTTATTCAATAATCTACACACGCTAGCAGCATCGCACGCTTCTCTCCCACGTCCAAAGCAGTCCTTTTCGAAACCCACTTTCAAGCCACAGTATTTCAAACACCCATTCACCCACCGTTCCTGATCCCCGCTCACCCCTTCATGATGCTGCCGACGTAGATGCCGCCGTCGCCGCCCTTGTTGCTCTGCCCGACGATGCTGATGCCGAGGAAGTTGACCGTGTCCATGTTCAGCGTCACCGTGATGATGTTGAGCGTCATCGTCGAGTCGGTGATGGAGCTGAAGGAGGAGGTGCGCGACATGCCCGGCTGGCCGCGCTGCGGCCGCGGCTTTCTCCGACGGTGCCGCCGGTGCACGCGAGACACCGAGGTGCTCCCTGGTGGGCGGAGGAGGGAGGAGGTGTTAGAGGGTGACGGGAGAGTAAACACATCTCGGGGGATCTCAACAAAGGGGTCAGACTCAGAGGGTTACGAACAAAGTATACACATCTGGGGATCTCCAGGGAAGGGGTTACAGAAAAGAGGGCTGAGGAAAGAGCACGCACCTCAAGAACTCCAATGGATGGGCTATTATTACGCTGCAGGATCAATAGCAATAGATAGGATGCATTCCCTAAAAAGGACCGAAGGCGGAAGATACGAAAGGAAGATCAGCAAACGTAAACAATGGCGTTGCCGACGTCTTGTGAAGGCCGGGAAGGCACGAGGAGTCACCTGGGCTGATGTGGCCTATGAAACATCAACACGACTGCCAACAAACACGCTGCAACCCTATCTCACTACAAACAGATTATCGTGTTCACTGCAGAACAGTAGCGATAAATACAGTTGTTGATTGGGCTGGCTATGGTTCCCTAGATCCAGCCTGCAGAACATCATCAGAACATCACTTCCCTATATTCACATGCTGTACTAAAAAAATCAACCCACCTGAAGACAATTGGATTACCACCTTCAATTATAACAAAGTCACTGAACTACAAGAATACCTATCCCAACAGCTCTCAACATTCCATACCATCCCTGATGCAAATACTGCAGCTGATACACTTATCAATGCATACTCTTCAGGCATAGCATTGTTTAGCATTAAGAGGAAGTGTACTAGGAAAACAACAGTCATAAAACCTTGGATATCTTCAGCAATTCTCACCTCAATAAATACCCGTAGCACTCTATATAGAGAAAAAACAAAGAATCCTACAAATAGAAACAAACTTGCCTATCAAAGACATAGAAACTGCCTCAATGGCTTGATAAGGGAAGCGAAGAAAAAGTACTTTCAGGAACAATTATTGCTTCATAAGACAAATTCAAAGAAAATGTGGGAAATACTCAACAGTTGTATAAATAAGAATCCTAGAAAATCTGAAGTATCTACTGCTTTCAGTGATGCGCATGGAAATCTCATTGAAGACACCAAGCAAGTAGCTCATTTATTTAACAATTTTTTCATATCAATTGGTGAGAAGCTAGAAAAAGAAATCCCAAATACCAGAACTGATCCCCTGGATAGTGTCACTTCCAGTGAAAACACATTTGATCATTTTCACCCAACAAATTCTGCAGAATTAGAGTCCATGATAAGAAATATGAAAAATGTTGGTGCTGGTTTTGACAACATCAATTCAAAAATATTCAAAAATACATATTCAGCAATACTCAGTCAATTGGTTCATTTAATAAACATATCGTTGAGTACTGGAACATTTCCTGAAAGTATGAAGATGGCTGTGGTGAAGCCATTATACAAATCTGGAAATAAAAATATATTTAGCAACTATAGACCCATTAGTATCCTTCCCTATCTTTCCAAACTTCTAGAAAAGATTGTACACCAGAGAATCAATGCATACCTCATACAGAATGACATATTATGTAAGGATCAATTTGGCTTTCAAAAATCCTTATCAACATACATGCCTATAGTACTCCTGCAAGAACGAATAACAAAAAGCATGGAAAATGGGAAAATGTCCTCAGCGGTATTCATTGACCTTAAAAAAGCATTTGATACAGTGAACCACAACATACTCATCAGCAAATGTCGTAAATACGGATTTACTGGTTGTGCTCTTCGCTTTATCAAATCATATCTCACAAACAGACAACAATGTGTAGAATTTAAAAGTACTAGATCCTCTTTTCAAAGTATTAAGCTAGGAGTGCCCCAAGGCTCTATCCTAGGCCCCTTACTCTTCCTTATATACATAAATGACTTAAAAAATGTATGCAAAAAATCAGAATGCCTTCTATATGCTGATGACACAGCCTTACTTTTTGAAGGTGAAAATACACAGGAACTACAAGAAAATATGAATAAAGAACTTGAAGCTGTATCCATTTGGCTTCAAGCAAACAAACTCACACTCAACGTACAAAAAAACATTTACCAAGTATACAACCAAATGGGTAATATCATTAATTTGAACATTATGATACATGGTGAAAGAATTGAAATAGCAGAAAAGTAAAATATCTAGGCATCACTATTGACCCTGCCTTGAAGTGGAAATACCACATCGATAACATAGCAATCATTATCAGTAGAAATATTGGAATCTTCAGTAGAGCGAAGTACTTTCTTCCTGAAAAATCATTACTCTTGCTCTACAACTCACTGATTCTTCCTTTCTTAAACTATTGCTGCCTAATCTGGGGTTTCACATATCCAACTTATCTCCACAAAATCGAAGTATTACAAAAACGAGCAGTTCGAATTATAGTAAATGAACATCGTCTTGCACATACTATGCCCATATTTCGTAAGCTCAATGTTCTTAAAGTAAACGCACTAGCTAGACAACAACTTATCATGTTCATGTATCGAAAATTCGCTTCACATTTACCATCGCAACTTAACCAATTGTTTACTACAGTAGATCAGGATAATATAAGAACAAGAAATAGACAACATTTTCACGAACCCTTCTCGGCAAAACGTTATCGTGCACAAATAGCATCATGGATAGGACCGCGTGTCTGGAATAATGTCGTTGCATCCCAATTCTCTATAACAACCATTAATCAGATATCTAAATCTCAGCTAAAAAGATACGTCAAAGCATACTTCATACAAAATATGTAAGCTTTTTCGAGAATTTCCTCTGGAATTCTCGCTATCCTTTCATTGCAACTTATGTAATTTCAAATGTACTTGCCTCAAAACTGCACTAATTGCAAGTAAATCATGTTTCATCGAAATTATTTTCATCATCGTCATTCGTCACCATGAATAATCTCTGGCGCTGGAGCAAGGAGCCTGACCAGCAACAAGCTTCGCTTAGCTGGAAAGGCTTTTCTGCCCTCAGCATTGACCGGCCGAATTTTTGACCAGAGCGATTCCCCACGTATGTTTGCATGACGTGTGAATGAGCGATTGTTTTTTTCTACTCTAGATGAATGCATGCCCTTCTGAGTGAAAGTTGCTTTCGGTATCGTAGTAGAGAACAGTCATCTGTCTGGTTTCAGCAGTGGCTACTTTCGCATTCTGTTCTTGTCTCCGCCTAAACCCGCTACCCCTTCTCTCATTTGCTTTTTTTTAGTTTTATTTCCTTTCTTAGCAGGGAGTGCCGCGACTGATCAGTTTATTTTATCTGGTGTTAACGTAAGGTTCTGCTAGTCGCTGGGTTTGAGGGCGGGGGCACTCCTGGTCACCTGATCATGGGTGGCGGAGTAGTTCGAAAAAAAGAGCAGCGGTGCCGCTCCAAAGGAGCAAAAAAAAAATCATTCATTGCTAAACCGTTGTGCAGTGTGCCCTCCAGCCATTTTAAACAGCAGTCTGTGCCAGCGACATGCCCCAGCACCACAGCTGACCATCCGCAGAAATTCGCGGAATGTTTGCCCAGACGGAGCTGCACGCCCCAGTCACTGCAGGGCGCTATCGGACAGGGCCGTCAACAATCTGAGGTCAGTGTAAACGGCCCATCGATTAACACTACAACAGCTGACGGTCAGACAGTCACTGGAGACTGGGCTGAGCTGCCACAGAGACAGCGCTGAGGTGATCCACTTCCGCAGCTCCCTGCCAAAAGGACTATGTCTAGTGTCTATCCCCTCCGGCTGGACTCTAACCAGTTCCCACCTTCCAGGGCGGTCGAATGCGGATATCCTATCGTGGCCTGTTTGGTCCCCGTCGGTGTTTCAAAGATTATACTTCTACTCTTCACGATATCGTCCCATCTCAGTCCTCACAGTTGCAATGCATCCTAATGCACCGTGCTTCATCGTTACAGGCCACAGTCACTACGACGTCTGACTCTTTTTACTGTCCCACTCCGATGTCCTACGCACCCTTCCAGCATCTCATCTGACTGTCCCACCCCAAAATACCCACCTTCGCGTACCACCGTACCTGTGGTGGATGTGATGCGACTCGAGCCGTCGTCCTCCGAGTCAAAGAAGCTGGTCGACTCCAGGTCCGAGCTGAGCATGGAGCTGTTGTCGTACAGACGCGCCCGGTGCCGTGCGTGCCCGTTGAGCTTCTCACCGGCTGCAGGGGACACAGGCATATAACAGGGTCAGGGGCGCACATAGACAGAGGATACATGGGAATGGGGTGCGTGATGGTTCACGTAGGTAAGGGATTAGTGAAAAGTAAAGGGACGAGCATGAGTGCAATAATAAAATACCACATGTTCGATGAATTACCGTTCTAAAATGACTAAAAAGAAACTCTGCAATCAATAATGCATTCAACTGAAAGGGTAAGAAGATGGTTGAGATGCTTTAATAATTAACAAAAAAGGGTCACCATCACCAACCCAAGAAACACAATCTCAAGAAAGTGAGAGCTGCAACAGTCAGAAGCATGCTCAACAAAACCAAAGCAGCCCAGACCAGGTCAAGCCGTATCAAGCAAAGCCAAGGCATGCGTCAATCATTCCTCCGCGCTACTGTTCTTCGGTGGCACCATCAATTCCGCGTGCACCGGGGTTATCTCAGGTCAGTGGCCCCCTGACCTATCCACCGGCCGGGGGCAGTGGAAGGCGGTCTGAGTCGTCACGGGCCGCTGGCTGAGCGTTTGCAGCCGGTGGAGTCTCCACAGCAGCCGGCGCCGCCTGCTCCGTCCGACCACCGCCCGCTCAGCTCCGTTACCAGCCGTTACCATCCGTTACCAGCTGTTACCAGCCGTATACCGTCCATTACTGCTCATTACGGCTGCACTGTTACACACAGGCAGAGGAGCTCGGCCAGCCGCCGCCGGGGCCCGTGCAGATTGAGGAGTGGTCAATGGTCATTATCCACCTGCGGACGTGACAAGGCCGCCGCGTACTCATTACCGGCACTTTGGCGTGGTTTGCGAGCGGCTGCTGTACCGGGCGCTGAGGCCGGTTAGCGAGGGTTCGCCGGGCAGGCCTGACGCCTGTGTTGGTTAACAGGCATTTCAGACGGCTGCAAACACGCCGGCATGTAATCAACAGACACGTCCGCGGAGCCGAAATGCCACTGTTGAATTGAACGTCCGGCTAGGACACCAGTCGGTCGCTCATCGCCCATGATGATGATTTGGGATTTTTAGGCGCCTGGACTTCAGAGGTCATCGGCACCCATTCATCGCCCATATCTTCCGCTAGCTTCACTAGAAAGAGACGTCGAAAAAACTACCCTCATAGCCGCAGTTTTCAGTCAAAGACCAAGCAACACCAAGCTGCGATTGGCCCGACACACCAACACCAGCCATCCTTTCACCTACGAAAGCCGTTTCACTCTCGCCCCACTCACTCCAACGGACGGACAGACATGTTAGTTTCAGCGCCAGCCCAACTGCAAGCCAGCCATTCCAAGGCGCCGAGCGTCTATCCCCGGGAACGATCACCGCTCCTGGGGCAATTCAGTCAGCTCGGCGTTCCTGGCGCCTGCCTCGGGCACACTGCACTGCACCAGCGTTAGTACGAAGCCGCCGGCGAGCACGCATGCATGCGGCCCGGACCGTCGGCGCTCGAGAGGAGCGCTCACCTGAGTGGTACCGACCGGCGGCCGGGGGCGGCCGTAGTGACGGGCCCAGCCGGTGTCCGTGCCCTGTAGGTCGGCACACACAGACAGGCACACATTAACGGAACCGTTAGAGGCATGGTGGATGCTCTGACGAGCTCATACCAGCCTTGGCAGTGGCAGTGGCAGTGTGGGGGAGATAGTTTATGATAATGATGGGGTGCGGTGTGCGATTGTTGTGGAGACGGGCGAATTTGAGCAAAGGGTTACTCCGTTCATAATTTGGAGATAAGCATGGTCTATCTGTATTTGTGTGCACTCAGCCACCGTAATTACATGAGTGAATGGCACAGTAAAAAGACTGATAATGAAAAGGGGCGGCACAATGATTTGAATGCAGCTGCAGACTGCGGCTATTATGGCCAGCTGCGATCGCATAGCAATGCATGAATGGGCGGGTCCGTAGGCAAACAGTGTCCATATTTAGTAGTCTCTGCTCTTTGCCGGCCGGCGTATAATCGCCTGATGACGGTGCGAACATGCATGAGTGAGGGAAGGGGTCTCTGGCAGCGGAGTGGGCGAATGTATCGCCTTAGTGGGTAAGAGTGATTGGGCAGACACATGCGTGAGTCATGGGACATGCACCAGTGACACGTGATAGTAGCTAAGAAGATCGGTGATAAACAAATAATAATAACTTTAACATACCTGAGTGCACGATAGTGAGAGAATAACACCGAAAATTCAGAGGGCAGTAGAAAACAAGAACTACCATGTGCCCTATCTGATCGTGACATTCGTGCACATCTACACACAATTACGTGATATTGGGAGCACATTCCTTCCTACACATGGAGCACACAACATCAAGTTCATTTCATCAAATTCAGCGCTGGGTGAACGAAATAAACGAACCAGCTTAGGATCAGCATCGCTACGTTCAATGCTGAGTCAGTGTCAGCCGTCAGGACTCAGGAATCAAGGTCATGATCATCATAAAGGAGTCATCATCAATCGTCAGGTCCATGGAGTAGAACCAGAGGTTCAGGAGCAGGAGGCCTGGGGTTAGGGTGTCATGTGTCATAGTCAGGGATCAACCGTCCGATTCTAAGGTCAGTATTATTGTAAGGGTGCTGTCCTGTAGGAAGCTGACAGGACCAGAGAAGGGCCGGAGCTATACAACTGTTTGACGAGATGGATATCGGTACCAGTATGGACGTCATCATCGACATCGTCTGCTCGCACCTCTGACGCCGCTGACGGTCGACTCTGTCTCTGTGGCGTCTCCCGGGGGCCTGGCCAGCTCTGACATGGCGCCCACCGGGTCACCGCACTGGGAGCCGTCGATGGTGCTGCCGTCTGCCGACACCAGCTGAAAAGTGCCGACAACATGTCAGTCAGCGAACGACAACGACTGATGTGATAGAACGATCAGACTGAATGACAGCGACAAGACTGGCGGGATGGCAGCTCGGCTCGAATGCTGCGAGGCTAAAATGATCACAGGCCGCAGAGCACTTTGAATAGACATTACGGCGTAAAAAAACTGTGGTGGGAAGCAGCTCCGAAACATCAGGTAAGCATAAATAGGTAGGTAAGACAAACTTCAGTAAGGTGTTCGATAATGTCAAGTTCCCTATTCCAACTGACGACACAACTTCCGCCGATCAGTCGCTGTGCACCGAATGCATGTACTGCTGGTCTGAGGAAAGGCACTGCCACAGTCCCATTCATCGAACTAACGGCCTGCACGGTAATGCAAGGTTGCCGCAATACAAAAAAGACCGATTACGAACAATGATAGACAACTCGAAGACATGAATGGGCGATTATGAACAATGATTTCTAATTCAGTTGAGTTTCCTTATCAGGAATGCCACACCCCAAGGCTTACACAATGGTTTATAAGCTCTCAACACCGCATAATGTATATGCTCCACTATCAAAGCCCCACTTACTATTCAGTGCCCACAAAGCGGTTGTACCGTAGGGAAACAACCGCTCGCAGAATACCCGCGCCCGGCACATTACCCCAAGCTGGCCCTACCACCTTATCACCACGCTTCTGCTTACCCAATAACTCTAGACGGGCTGACTGATCGGTAATGGTATCCATGCCAGAGCCCCACTAACTAGACTGACCCAATGCCTAAGTCACAACCCACTGAAAAAACCCACGCTCACACCCATCCCAAACCCACGCCTACATCATCCCAGTACATACCCACGATACGACACGTCCGTTGATACATGGCAGGTGCGCTTCATCATCAATTATCTCCTCCTTAACGATTCTGCAACACAGACAGAGAGCGGGCACACGTCAGGAGAGAGCGACGGGCGGACCTGGCAGAGGGCGGGGGCGATCCATCAGCCGCCTGGCGCCGGGCGCTGTCACACCTCCTCCGCCGGCGGCGCCTCAGGGCAGCGCCGGCGGACAGGCTGGCGAGTCTCGGAGGGTTGCACGGGCAGGGCCTGAGCTGGTATAATAACCAGAGGGAGATGCGAGAAGAGGTTATCGGCATAGAGAATGTGGAGATATCGTCTAAACAGGATATGCCATCCATTATCCATTGTTTTACATCTACCAAGTCATCCACGATGAGTGATTAAATTGCCATCAGTGTTCTAAAATTGGATATTGGTTGGGTGTGCCGATGAAGAAAAAATCCTAGGATGAAAAAAAGAAAGTAAATGACTGCAGTATTTTTGCAAAATGGTGTAATGCCAATTTTTTTGCTAACTGATAAACCAGAATTTCATGTCAGGATCTTGACAGGGTGTGGAACAAAAGGATGTGGGTGCATCAACTGTCAAGTGACAAGTGAACTGGCTGTTGGGAATACATGAAACTCTTTTCAGAGATGAAGTAAAGTTGGTCATTCATATTTTAGGGATGAAAATATTTTCCCCATTAGGTGTGATTTGCCACCAAAAAGGCTGACAAATGAAACACTGATTGCCATTCAAAATAAACGATAAAAATTTGATGGGCAATAGGGCAATAACTCACCGATATTCAATTATTTATTCAATTATCAATGGATAAAGGCGAACACATCGATATATCGAAAGACAAGACATTGCACGATAAGGACGATAATAACTGCAGCAGAAGTCACAAGATAGTAGCATAACTATTCGACGGTAGTTATGGCTGACGTGGCCTGGCTAGTGCGACAGCGTACGGAGATTATCTGTCGTGAGATTATCCTGATTGATCCTGATCACTGCATGATAAGGGGAATGATAGCGATATGACTGGCCTGTGAGCGGGCGAGCTGATCCGACAACAAGTAACACGTGCACCGTGACTGGCGAGCAGCATCCCACCGCGGCCCTAGCGAGCGTCCAGCCGTCCCTAGCCCCCGCGAACTCCCGCCCCCGCAGTGCTGACCGTGCATTCACAGTCTGTACACAAACAGCCCGTCTCTGCCGTCACAGGGGCAGCAGCAGTACCAGCAGGCCCATCAACAAATGGCCAGTCTGGCGGCGATCAATAACCCGTCCCAGTGAGACCGAGAGCGGCCTCAGGCGGTTCTGGGAACACGGTCGTCCGTTCGGAGCGACCGCCCGCTCGCCGGTCGGTCGGTTGGTCGGTCTGAGGCGCTCGCTATCTCCCGTCCGGTGACTCATCGCGCGCCTCCCATCCCGTCCCTTTGTCCCCGCGAGCCACAGCTGGGGGTGGATCAGTCGGGAGAACGATTGGAGTGGGTGGGGTGGATGAGATGGCGAGGCACCAACGAGAGAATATCTATCGCAGGTCAAGTGCAAATCGTAAAGGAAGCACGGACTGAAGAAGTGGGTAAATATCAATAGCTGACATTGTTATGCAAGGTTTTCAGTAGTGGGACCATCGGATGAGTCGACGCAATAGCGTTTAGTGAATAAGGCAGCTAGGGAAGGTGTAGAGCGTGATCTCAAAAGATTGAGGTTGGTTTGATAAAATCCTATCGGAAAGATACGATATCTGTCTAAAGTCCATCAAGAATCCCAGACACAAGAATCTGAGTTGGATCCAAAGATCACATGACCGACCGACGGCCGACGGAAGGAAGCTATCAGCATGAATCGCGAGACACATTCACTCATCTACAAAAGGTCAGCAAACAGGGAAATGCCATAGGTCATCACGATCTGTTCACATGACTGAGGAAACCGAGTTACCATCCTTCTCAACCATATCAAAAATTGTTCCTATGCCACTTGATGAGACGTATCCTATGCTTCACAGAACGCAGAGCATATCAGTCGCCTGCTATTCCTCTCTCCACCCGCCCACGCTCCAGACGACACACAGCTCGAACGCCACAACATCGCCAATTCCCTACGGAGCACCCGTCTGACAGGAATGAAAACTTGACAGCCCCTCCCCGCTCTCTCAGATCAAAGTAGCCGCGCCGCGCGTTTCGCTGTCCCCGCGACTGGCCTACAGGCATCGGGCGGCCGTCCGAGATGTCACCACTCGAGCGCGGGTCGCCTCGCGCCGGGGTCGGGGTGGGGGGCGTATCTGCAGTAGGTATGGCTAAACACTGTTCAGTGCAGATCGGTTCGTAGGACGGCTGTGTCGAGAGGAGGGGGACAGACGAATGGACCAAGAGCGGGATGGAGAGAAGTTGGTGATACATGCAGGGTTACAGCTGATGTTGGAACTGGTGTTGTGTTTGACGGAATCGTGAGGCATAAGGACATTGTGCCATGTGTGAAGCATGTGGATAAGTAAAAACAGCCCAGCAGGGCGTATAAAATGTTGCAAGAAAGCTTGTTTTCAAGCGAAAAAAGCAGCGTCATTGATAATGAAGATGCACTATTAGCGCAGCTTGTATGCGTACGATGCGTGACACCAGAGAACAGCCGTCACTTATGCCACACATCACGTGACAACAGGTCATCAGACTACGACACCAGTGCGGACATCACGTGACATGATGATCGAACCGCAGTATCCCACACAAAGTAGCGTGAAACTTGAAAGCGTGGCTGATGTGAGAACTTACAGGAACAATTTACAATACCACGGCCTCGGCATATGAGCGGAGTGCACCGCTTTGTCAGCCGCTGCAGCATACAACCGTGCAACACTGGCAGTCATTGTTCGCGCCAGGCCTGACAGCCTTGCTAAACGGTCGCCTAGACACAAGTGTGGGAAAACTCCACCATTTGAACATGAGTCACGTTTCATTCAGCGTCGGCTGCAATATTGATGTCGTGCTGCATACCAGCTATCACATTCCAGCGTCGGACATGGCCGGGGACAGTGCGTTATTAATTGCTGAGTCCCGTCGCCGGGTGGGGCAGCGGTCCGTCGACTAAGCGGTGCTGTGTCCGCCACGCTCGTGCGTCGCCACCACATCGCTCCAGTCGAGCTCGGGCCGACGTACGGCCGGCACCGAGCCGACGACGGCTCGGCCGGTGTACCACACCGTGCCAAAAACAAACCCCGCCGCCGCAAACAACAGACAATGGAACGGGGAAAACGCGCCGCCACAGCACCAGCGGACAAGGCGTCATCGTAGCCCCCGGGCGATGAAAAGTCTGTCCGCCGACCGCCGGCGCAGCCGTATTTTCGTGAATACGCCGCACGGCTCTCACGGACTGATATCGGTCGTCGTGATTGGCCATCAAGAGCTAGACACTAGACGCTAGACATGAGGTACGGCTGTGCTTCCCTCAGCAATGGCGGCGACACGACGGACCTGCTTTGCCAGGCCGGGACGGGGTGAGGTGGGGCGGAGCGGGCCGGGGAGGGGGCCGGGCGGGGCGGGTCAGACAGCGGCGCCGACCATCTGTAACAATCACAGCCAATCCGATGACGGATGATGTCGCCATCAGGCGGCCCGACGGCGCCGCCCCAACCGCCATGCCCCGGGGCGCGCTGCAGCCAGCGGCCCACCACCGAACGCACAGCATCGCACGACGCCCCGCGGCCGTTAGCCAGACAGCCCTACGTCGCTGTGTCAGAGCCCCGGGAAGGAAGGGCGGGAGGGCGCACCGATAGCCATGTCAGCACCGGCAGAGGAACAGTCAGCCGTCAGGATGAGGCGCTGATAACAAGGCTGGAGTTGGTGGGCGCTGGCACAGCAGCCGCCAGCCACTGGGTAGGTATCATGGGCAGCGGGCATCCGATCAGAGGGCATAAATAAATACATATATCTATAAATACAAGCGTGACGTTATAATGCAAGCAATATTTGTCAAATCTCATGGAACAAACCGCTGCACGGCTCAATGGCATTCTACCAGCCACCATCACAATTTCAAGGGAGGCGGTGGGCAACCATCCATATTGAGCGACCCAGTGGCGAAATCTGCCCCGGCGCGGCGGCCACCGCCCACACCCTCGCCCGGGGCGATCGCCCACGGCATGGAAGCGGACGTATTTGGGGACCCGCGTGGGACCGCGCCCAGAAATAGTCGCCGTCGGAACCGGCGGGTGGGGAGAAAAGTATGACGAAAACCATGAGCTCGAGATTACATTTATGGAGCGAAAATAGATATAACGCGAGAGAAACAGGCTTTCAGCTATTTTAAACCAATTGAGTTCAATCATTTCTGAACCAGGCTCGAATGAACAATAAACCAGTACAATAAAATAAAATAAAGCAGAAAAATACCAACAAACCACGAAAAGTATCATACCCAGTAGAAGTTTCATCTTGCCAACTCAGCTGCAACCTGGGTTGGCGCCAGCACACCATGGCCAGATCGGTTCGGGTCGGAGAGAACGAACCTGTTGTGTACCGAGAGTATACCCGATGCGCTCTCAAATCACCAGATATAAATCCCCACAGACCAACTCATACCTAGCAGCCCCTCTCTGGGTCAGCTCTATTAGCTGATCGATCTAATCAAATACGTACGTTAGCAGGCAGCAGCGCTCATAGCAGCCAATGTTCAACCCAGAACGACCAAACGACCCAATGAGAGACGAGGTTCCACCCAACCGGAGACAATCCAATGAACACGATCGGGTGATCAGAGTAACATTGACGGGCTCCGTTCCGGTGACGCATATATATTACTGACCGGGCCGACGAAATTATTTGGAAACGAGGTTTGCAAAATTGACGTAGGCCCGAGTGCGAAGCACGAGGGCCGGAGTCAAATTTTGCAAACCGAGTTTCCAAATAATTTCGTACGGCTGAGGTCAGTAAGATTTTTCCTACATGCCGCATACCTGTTAAAGGAAATAGTTCACATTTTAACATGGGTTTTGAACTGGAATAGCAGTTCCGTAGCTTGGGCTGAGACGAGCATAAATCAGGAGCTTTTACAGCCCAACGATCACCCTAGG